GTCTTTGCTATCTGAGTGGCTGAAAAATCTGGATTTTTGTAGCAAAAAGGCTTAACTCTGCAACTAAAAACTGGGTATTTGGAATTGCCATTTACGCGAGTCTATAATTGTTAACCCCTTTGCTTTATTCCTATTTTTTAATTTCTTCATTGCAAATTTTTATTACTTCTTAAAGAACTGATTCTCTTACATGTTGAATAACAATAGCTTTAGAAGGAAGTTTGCAGGAAAAATGGAGCACATTCTTCACCTTTCTTTTTCTGTTTTGTTTGTAGAAATCCATAAAACTGACAAGACATTTAAACATTGCAGTCTTCCATCAGAGGCTGAACGTTGCCTTCTTCATGCTTTATCAATTATCTCATACTTTCCTTTATTATAGTTGGCTTTCTGCATTTCCTTCAAAAGTATTCACACATTACAGCCTTTCACTGTGGTAGATGGAGTCTCTTTAACATTTTTCTTTGTTTCCTTTTTATCTTTTGCCTCTAGTAATCTAGTAAGTCTAGTAATCCTAGACTTTTTTATACCTGTATATCTATTTTAGTTTTATACAAAAACAAATTTTTTTGCTGCTTTCTTGTTGCTTCATAATTCTTAGAAGGCTTGGTAGGGGTTTAAAGTGATGCACTAAAGGCAAAGCTTTTTGTTTTGTCCTCTATGTCCTGTTATTGGGACAAAGTTGGGTGATGCGCATGGGAACGTAACTGTGATATTTTGTGTAGTCTACATTCTCTGATATACTGTTACATCCTTTTTTTATTCTAAAAATACCTATTGTGATGGAGGTGTAATGTGAATAAAAAAAGTTTTTTTTTTGTAGCATTTAATGTTTGGTTGCAGAATGATGTACATTCATTTTTGGATACTAGGTTTAAACAAATGGCTGCTGCTGTGTAAGAATTAATTGTTTGTGTCGTTGTACTTCCTTATTTCTCTTTGTATTGTTAATGCCAGCAGTAACGCTAAAGGTTCAGTCTCCTATACAACCAATGGTCGGTGAATTATTAGTGGAAAGAGAAAGAAATATAGGCTGAAACACAGCGGGACTGATTTAGTGTGGGATCCAATAGAAAAAAAGTTTAGAAATTGCATCTGGTCAAAAAGGATGGGGCCGGCCAAACCACTCACAATTGTCTGCAAAAATGCTTGCGACCAAAACAGCAATTTGACGGGAATGTCATGAACCAGACAGGAAGGGAGACAAGGTGACAATGTAAAACACTTGGGGAAAACAAAAGTTAAACCAGCAAAGGCTCATCCCTATGGAGGCAACAAGCCTCACACATTTTACATTATGTTCGTCTAAAGCAAGCAGGGCAGACGTGGACATAAACAATCAATAAGCTTACCCATGTCAGGGGCTCTGGAGTACAGAAACAAATAAACTAAAATGCAAACCTTTAGGCTTGTTAGAGCAGCAAATACAATTTTACTGCTTCTTTATTCTTGGGAAATTACAGCTACATACGTCTCTGTTAAGCAGTCAGTGACCCTCTGCAGCTAGCATGAGAGAGAGAAAAATCAGATTGGTGTTTATAACTTCAGGCTTAAAGGTATAATGGAGGATTTAGCAAATTTTTGAAAAGACCCACCCTCTCCACACAAAAAAAATGCACATGCACAACCCTGTTCCCAGCACCCGAGAAGGAACGCCTATTCAACCCGTGCGAGAGAATGCACAAGCCCATTTCTGCTTGTGCATGCTCTGTTTAAAAGTTACATCTCTCATATCTCTCATAGAAGCTTGCTTTCCCAAAGAAGATTAGTAATTTATTACACTTGTCAGACACACCACCAGTAAGTGAAAATGGGGACGAGCATGTAGGACGGCCTTACGTAAACATATCACCAGAATGATCGACAATTAGGAGAACCACTTATTTTGATGATCCATCTGGAAAAAGAACATCCTCGACTATACCTTTAAGTGTTATGTTACAATATTTTCTCATGCTGTATAATCTGAAGAGCCTTTACTTAAATCCTGTTGTGGCCGTGCATAGGAGCCCAAATATAGCATCACTAAGTCTAATATGTCCCAAACTTGCTCTGAACCCTTTTGGTGGAAAATGAAATTACATTACCTGTAGTACCAAATGTGTAGAAAGGGATACAGTACTTAAGCTGTATTTATGTATTTTCTTGCAGAAAAACAGTGTAGCTAAACAGTATGCACTGTAAAAGTGTGATATAGGCAGTATAAAAACAATGCATTTTTATTAGCACATATGGACAGAATTAAAATTATTTCTGCCCTTGGATCAGTCATATTCTTTTATATCTGCAGACTTTTTGAAAGACATAATCTCTTTAATAGATAGATGAGAATTAATAATAAGCTTCAGGTTCCTGAATTGTCCATCTCTGTGTAATGGGAGAAACTCTCCTAGTACTTGTTATGTAAGGTACTATTGACCCTAAGGACCTCTCTTTGACCTCATCTGCTCTTTCTTGTAAACTTTTTTTATGATGGTGAGCCAGAATTGGAGTCTGCTCTTCGTTTAAGGTAATGAGATAATTAATGTCAGCGAAAGCTATAACTCTTGAGTCCCCACTGGATTTCTTAGCTATAACTTGGATCATAAACTTCTTTGGATAACATTCAGAGACGTCTAAAACTAAAGTGTAGTTGAGATCCCACGAAGTATTCTACCACTGTCCGATCCACGCTGTTGGCGATTTAGCAACACTGCATCCATTTCCTGTGCTCTGGTTGTCCCACCTCACGGGACAGTTTGAAGGGGGGGTGGGGCAGGTAGGGGTCCTGAGGTCGCAGTTTCCCATGATGTTTTTATTGGCCTCAGCAGATGGTTTCCTCGGCCTCTGTATTGTTATGATGGACATCTTGCTCCGGGGGGTCGGAGTTAACAATTGTTGCTAATAGCTTTAGGAGACAAAAGCCTATTCTTCCTCTAAGAAAAGGTTTCCTCAGTAACAGAATGCTCAAAACATAAGTGATGTCAGGTTCAAAGATCTGAATAAATACATGTCATTTTCAGTCAGGTTGGAGGCACGATGAGGATGGTGATGGTCAGCAGGAACGTGTGAAAATTCACTTTTGAAGAAACTCAAAACTCCACTGAGAACTTCTTTCTCTTTTGACTGAAGCTCTCCAAATAATGAGAGGACAGCCTAAAAGCCTGCACTATTCACTGCAACAGTATACTTTTATTATTCTTTGCAATATCCACTTTCCTCTTTGGTTTTGACAAGGCCTGTCCCTCCTGTCTGTCACAGACACACGAACCCCAAGGACACCTCCCCCCCAACCCAGAGCAATC